TAATAATAGATGAAACTTAGTGAACCAATGGTGTGCCACATTAGAATTAAAAAATCAACTAGCCAATTGCAGCTAGTAATAATAATAGATGAAACTTAGTGAACCAATGGTGTGTCCCATTAGAATTAAAAATCAACTAGCCAATTGCAGCTAGTAATAATAATAGATGAAACTTAGTGAACCAATGGTGTGCCACATTAGAATTAAAAATCAACTAGCCAATTGTAGCTAGTAATAATAATAGATGAAACTTAGTGAACCAATGGTGTGGCAGATTAGGGTTAAAGAACATTTAAATTATAAACGAAATCTCCACACAGAGCTCAAGTACTAGCGGTAAAGTAAATCAGCTGTTTTCATGTATTATTAATCTATTCATCTTACTTTTATTCGAGAATATTTGATTAATAACTTATGGAAGAAAGGATTCCGTTTCTTGTGATTTCCATAAAACAGTTAATTGCTATATCTCAGTTCCTAATAACGAAACGTTATTTACAGTGTTAGTTTTAAAATGTACCTATAAATTAACTTTAGCCTTACATGTGGCCCATTGTTTAACTTTGTGTTTGCCCCCCCCCCCCAGTGGTACAGCGGTTTGTCTGCGGACTTACAACGCTAGAAACCGGGTTTCGATACCCGTGGTCGGCAGAGCACGGATAGCCTTTTGTAGCTTTATGGTTAACTAGAAACAAACAAGCTTTGTATTTCAAAACATACATACAAACCTTGCAAGTCATTTGGTGTTATAATTAGGGGCGTTTACAAGTAAATAATATATGATTTGAAACATTCGGTAACAGGAGGCTGCTAGAAAAGAAGGATGTGACCGAAATGTTTATTGTCAGAGATCGAGATCTTCTTTACCTCATTGATCCATAATCTAGAGAAGTTATTTGAAAAGTAACGTTCGTTAAATCGCGATCTCTTCCTGGAAGTTATCTGAAAAGTAGCATACGTTAAATCGCGATCTCTTCCTGGAAGTTATTTGAAAAGTAACGTACTTTAAATCGTGATCTCTTCCTGGAAGTTATTTGAAAAGTAACGTCCATCGTGATCTCTTGCTGGAAGTTATTTGAAAAGTAATGTCCATCGTGATCTCTTCCTGGAAGTTATTTGAAAAGTAACGTATGTTAAATCACTATCTCTTCCTGGAAATTATTTGAAAAGTAATGTCCATCGTGATCTCTTCCTGGAAGTTATTTGAAAAGTAACGTCCATCGTGATCTCTTCCTGGAAGTTATTTGAAAAGTAACGTCCATCGTGATCTCTTCCTGGAAGTTATTTGAAAAGTAATGTACGTTAAATCACTATCTCTTCCTGGAAATTATTTGAAAAGTAACGTCCATCGTGATCTCTTCCTGGAAATTATTTGAAAAGTAACGTATGTTAAATCTCGATCTCTTCCTGGAAGTTATTTGAAAAGTAACGTCCATCGTGATCTCTTCCTGGAAGTTATTTGAAAAGTAATGTACGTTAAATCACTATCTCTTCCTGGAAATTATTTGAAAAGTAACGTATGTTAAATCTCGATCTCTTCCTGGAAGTTTTTTGAAAAGTAACGTCCATCGTGATCTCTTCCTGGAAGTTATTTGCCGTTAACTCCTTTCAGGAAACACCTCTAAAAAATTCCGTCAAATATAGACCGATAAACCATTTTAGTTGTCTCCTAGATTCAGGAGAGCTACAATTTTAACTAAAAAAAAATGTTAACCAAAATCCTGCCTGTCAAAGAAGCAGCTCTGCACTCGTTAATGGTAGATTCTAAATGTCACGAAACGTTCCCTCTGAGCCTACTTCAATGCAGTGGTTAATATGTTTCAACAACCAAGACTTCGTAGTTCTTGTCTATCTGTAAATATTTCAGTGAATTACTTTGGAGCTTGCTATCTCTAGCTCTCTCTTGGGAAGCTAATATCCGAACTTGTCATGTGCAAGTGAATGTTGTCACGAGAATGATTCACCTGTGTGCTGTATA